TGTCATACTCGCTGAGCTCTACTGGCCATTTGGCCAGGCGTCCCGACTGGCTCGGACTGTGCAGGATGGTTCGGAGTGACACGGGCGCCATGACGACAATCGAGTGGGACTGGAAATATGGCCGTAGCTTCCGAGCTGACATTACTACGGCAAGAGCGAGCTTTTCAGTTTGCGGGTAGCGTGTTTCCGCGTCGGTGAAAGTTTGCGAGACGTAAAATATCGGCTTCTGCTCTCCTCTGTCTTCCCTGACTATGACTCCACTTATCGCTGTATCAGAGACTGCGATGTACATAAATAATGGCTCGCCCGGGACTGGTTTTACCAAAACCGGTGGATTAGCCAGATACTTCTTCAGTTCCTGGAAGGCTTCTTCACAACGATCAGTTCATTTGAATTTCTTGTTTCCGTGCAAAGTATCGTAGAAAGCCAAGCATTTGTCAGTGGATCGCGAGATGAATCGGTTCAAGGCTGCGACTCTCCCGGTGAGACGTTGGACTTCGCGCTTGTTCTGCCGTGAGGGCATGTTCAACAGAGCATCGATTTGCTTTGGATTTGCCTCGATGCCTTGTTGGGTTACGAGATATCCTAGGAACTCACCCGACTTTACCGCGAAACGACATTTTGCCGGGTTGAGCTTCATGTTGTGCTTGTTGAGCTAGCGAAAGCAATCGCGTAGATGGGCTATGTGGTTATTTTCTTCAAGGGATTTGACTAGCATGTCGTCAATGTAGACTTCCATTGTCTTCCCGAGCTGCTCAGAGAACATCCTGTTGACGAGCCGTTGATACGTTACGCCAGCATTCTTGAGTCCGAAGGGCATGACTTTGTAGTAGTAGATTCCTCGGTCTGTGATGAATGCTGTCTTCTCGCGATCGTCAGGGTGCATGAAAATCTGATTGTATCCTGCGAAAGCATCCATGAATGATAGCAACTTATTTCCCGCGGTTGCTTCCACTAAGCGATCGATATGTGGGAGTGGAAAGCTGTCTTTAGGGCAAGCTTTGTTCAGATCGGTGAAATCGACGCACATTCTCCACTTGCCATTCTTCTTTTTTACCACGACGGGATTTGCTAACCAGTCTGGATATCTTGCTTCGGAGATTGAACCGATCTTCAGGAGTTTTTCTACTTCTGCATTTACGGCATCCGCGCGATCCCGACCCAATTTTCTTCGCTTCTGCTTGATGGGCTTGAAAGATGGGTCAACATTCAGCTCGTGGCAGATCACGTCGATGCTTACTCCTGGTAGATCTTCAGCCGACCAGGCGAAGGTGTTAATATTCTCCTTGAGGAATAAGATGAGCTCGGTCTTGATCTCCTTGGTTAAGTTGCTGCCGATTTCCACGCACCGTTCAGGCCGTTCCTCATCGAGGCCAATGGAGATTACAGGATCCGAGGTAGGCTTCTTCTCCTCGCGTGCTTCCTCGACCTGTAATTGCTATAACTGTTTAGATATAGCCTTCTCTTCGCTCCGGCCGAGTTTAGATTTTTTGTGGTCAGCTTCGGCCTTAGCTTCAGTGACCGGCTTTCGGAGCTTGTGTGCTGCCATGAAGCACATCCGTGAATTTTTCTGACTTCCCCAAATCGTTTTCACACCGTTAGGGGTCGGGAATTTGACACAGAGATGATACGTTGATGCGACAGCTCGCATTAGATTTAGCCACGGCGTCCCCATTATGACGTTGTAGATGGTAGGTTGATCGGTGACCGAGAAGTTGACTATCTTTGTCACCCCGCCGGCTCGGACTGGTAATTGGATGGTTCCAAACGTCATTAAAGTTTCTCCTGAAAACCCGAGGACTGGCCTCGGGGTCGGAGTTACCTGTGACATGTCGATGTTCATTTGTCAGAGCGTTTCGCGAAAGATCATGTCGATGGTGCTGCCAGTGTCAATTAATACTCGGTAAATATCATGGTCTCCTTTCGTTAATGTGACGACGATTGGATCGTTATGAGGCATGTCGAGCCCGTTTGTCTCGCTTTCTTCGAATGTGATCACGTCGTTAGGTCAATCAAAGGGTCTTGTCCAGTTGCTAGGCGTCTCGGCTCGGTGTTGATAAGCTTTGATTGCCGCTACGGTGTCAGGACAGTATGGCGATCCACCCATTATGGTGAGAACCTTCTGCCGCGTACCATCTCGGTCTTCGTCTTCCGTCCCCCGGGTTCTTTTCTGAGACTCCTGGTTCCTTGGTTCGGGGTCTCTTCCCGGGTTGGTCTGTTCGGGCTCTGGCTCTGGCTCGAGGTCCTTAAAAGTGACGTTCGTCCCGAGCTCTCCAGCTAGGAATTTGGTTGCTAACTTAGCGCCGGGGCTTCGGCATCTCGAGGTATGGTGGCCGAAAATTTTGTGGTGTTCACAATATTCTTGATCATTGCTCGGTGGCTGATCCCTTGTCCAGGTGAAAGACTCTCTTCCTCGCCCACGGCCTCGGCCTCGGCATCGGGGCGTGTCAATCTGGTAGTTATGGTATCCTGAAAAATTGCGCCCTTCGTGATGCGTATACGTACCGCTATCACGCGTCTTCTTTTGGACCGGAGGCATCGTTTGGGCTTTCTCGGTTTTCTCGGCTCGGGGCGCATACTTCGTTGGCTCATGCCTCTTCGCTAGCAGCGCCATCTCTTCTTCGTGGGCGACGAAATCCGAGGCTCGATACAGCGCGTCGCGAATTGTTGTCGGTTTAGACAGGTTCAACTCTTTCCTGAATTCTGACTTGTACCAGAGAGCTTTCTTCAAAGCCGAAAGAGCGGCTACATCTGTAATTCCTTCGACCTTGGCTAGCGTCGATTTGAAGGTTGTGAGGAAATCTCTTAACGGCTCGGTGGGCTGTTAAGACAGGGACCATTGATCCGTATCGGAGGTTCCGGGGTCGATGAGCACGGAGTATTGCTTGAGGAACAGTGTCGACAGCTCGTCGAAACTGTCAATCGAGTTTCGTTCCAATCTTGAAAACCACTCTAATGCGGGTCCCTTGAGGTGTTCCACGAATAGTAGGCATAGACCAGCGTCCTTCTCCCTGGGCTTGAACCTGGCTCGGGCCACGGATATCACGAACGATTTAATGTGACACTTCGGGTCGGTTGATCCGTTGTAAGAGTCGATTTTGAACTTCCCCAGATTGGACATCGTCGTTTCGGAAATTCTTTTGGTGAAAGGCGTATTCCGAGATTCTTCCAAAATTCGGTCGATGTTAGGTGCAGAGGATGAAACGCTATGTATCTGGGTTTTGACGAGCTTCATATCAGCTTCCGCCTTGGCTAGAGAGGCTCGGATCTTGCTGAGCTCGTCCTCTCTTTCGGATTCTTCGGCCCATCTTATGTTTTCCTCAGTTTCTTCATCGTCAGTGAGATCCGTTCGCTCGGCGGAGTTAGCTCCGGCTCGGGTGCGCTCGTCTTGCAAATCATCTGGCCAGTCCGTCAAGTCCAATGCGTCTGGCTCGGTGGGATCATCTTGGTTCTCGCATCTGGCAGGATCGGCTCGGGTTGCGACTCTGGTGTTGTCGGTTGGTGTCGCGAACGTGAGTCTTGTTGGGTTGATGCCAGGCAAGTCCCTCCGGGCTCGTGGCGGCCGTGTCTAGAAACGCGTGGTTTTTTGCTGCCCACGTGTTGCGATTTCGTCGATTCGCTGCGCCAAGGTTTTGTTAGCTTTCTCTTGGTCGTCAGCTTTCTTCTGGAATTTAACCATCAGGTCTTTCAGTTCGGCTAGGGTCGCTGTAATCGTCGGATCGACTTGAGGATTTTGAGGGTTTGGAGCATTGGGGTTCCCTCCTCCGGCTAGCGGTATCTGACGATCGTCTTCGTTCATCGTCCTTTTTGGCAATCGAGTTCTGCGTCTTAGGGTAAGAGAATTCTAAAGTGATCCCCACAGACGGCGCCAAACTGTGGAAGTCGAAACTAACACAATCGAGATTTGTCTAGGGTTTTAATTTAGGGATACGATAAGCGTGAATTCTCAAAGAACAACAGAAACAATTGTAACCAAAGATGGTGTTCTTGATCTTATTGATGAAAAGAATAGTTTTGATCGTACAAGAGTTTGATCGTAAAAGAAAAAGGTGTTTGCGCTGTAAGAGCTTTGTGTAGTATAAATTCTAGAGCGATCTTCCCTCCCCCTTTGTGAGAGCCTTGAGTCTCTTTATATAGGGATGATAAACCGCCTCTCCAGCGATATTCTCGGAAGATTTCCATTTATCTTGAAGTCGGCTAGAATATCGCGGATTTGGATAATTTCCTTATTCTTCGGAGTCTTTGGAAGATTTCCTGATTCGAGTCGATCCTTCTAGATTTTTTCCTATCATTTCCGGGTATATCGGAAATGATGTCTTGCTCAGAAATGATATCTCTGAAGGCAAATATTTACTAAGTACTTACCTCAGGTGTCTTGATGGTTTCGACTCGGGCACCTTGGAGACTTCCTAGTGCTCGGGTCAGGAGACAATGTGACGTTCCCGAACTGAGATATTCACCGGGCTCGGGTATCCGCGAGGGAACCGGCTTAGGTACCCGAACCGTAGATGGGCTCGGTCGCTTGGACGTAGAACGAGCTCGGGTGCTCGAACCAAGGAAGGGCTCGGTCATCAAATTGGGCTCGGACATCGGGCTCGGGTATCTAGTTGGTTTAGCAGAATCCCGAACCGGATGGCAGAGTGTCCGAGCCGATCAGCGTAGAACCCGAGCTGGTGGAGAGATTGTTCCGAGCTGTTTTGAGAGGATCCCCCGAGCTGGCGTGCACGCTTGCTCAGGACGTTTTATGTTTGGCTCGGTCCCAGGTGGATGGAATCCGACCCCAACATCAGCTCATCTCTCACAATTCGTAAAACCTCTTTGGCGGGCTAGGACTTGCAAACCTAGAATCATGTCCAAACGTTTTTGCTAAAAAAAAAAATCATATGCCAGAGCATGTACATGGTTGTGTTCGGTCACACTAATTGAACAAAATATTTCTGTCAAACGGAATAATCCTCATGGACTCAACAAAACATTTCTTTAAAAAAAAAAAAACGTTCCTACACCTCTGGAGAACCCTCATGTGGCCGAGAACCTTCACCTACCTCGAATTGAGATGGGGAGTCTCCAAATACCAAAGAAAATTGTTTCAGTTCGAGAGTAGGATGGGAAGCCGAGGATAACTCGGACTCAACCATAGCGAGTTCGGCAGCAACTTCGTTCCTCTCGTTCTCGAACGAAACTCTCCCAGCCTCTAGTTCCTTAATCAGGTCTAGATTGCTCTTCAGTTCGGCTCGATCTGTTAGAAGTTTAGTCCAGACCTCTTCGTCCTTGATGAACTTCGTAACAGATTGAATAAGTTGCCTTCCGAATCCCCTCATCTCTTCTCGAGTATTATGTTCGGCTTCAGCGATATCGCGAGCCCTGTTCCTAGTTAAAAGCTCGATCTCTTGATTTGCTTCTTCGAACAAAGCCGTATTCTCCACTAGCTCAGCCTCTAAGCGAGAAGCATTAGACCTCGCAGAATCTCTTTCAGCATTCGCAATTCTGATGCGTTGCTCGTTAGCTGCTAGAGTTTTCTTCATATTTTCAAACGATGACTCGAGTGCTTTTTCCCGCTCAAGTCGCTCGGATTGGTTGGCTAATCTGAGATCATCAACCTCCTTCTTAGCCTTTGCGGTCCCTCTCTTCGCTTGATGAAGAAGGTTCTCATAATGGAAGATCATTCCATTATATTAGTCTCCATAAAAGCCTTCAGAGTAAAAAAAAACGTGCCGATTAGACAAAAAGCTTTTACCTAAGGAATGGAGATTGTCATAATCTAAAAGATTTGAACCTGGGATAGGTAGCGAGCTCGATTGGCAAACATCTGACGGATTTCCGGCCTCCAAACCGAAATAGGAGGAAGGGATGCCCCTTCCCTGGTTTGGAAACTTCGGAAGATGTCTCCAATCTCTTCTCCGCCTACGAAGCAGGGGAGAATAGCATATTAATAGATGCAATCCGTGGAAAGTTTTGCTAATGTTCGGTTTCTAAGTAAAAACTTACCTGAAATCAAAGCGGGTAAAGGATTTTGAGTCCTAACACTCAGTCCTTGAGATAGGGAAGCCTCCGGTCTCGGCTCATCCGTTTCCTCTAAAATTACTCTGTCTCCCGGAAGAGGGAGCTCGGAGTTTAAAGGTTCTGAAGAGGGAGAAACAGAGCGTAGAGGGCTAGAGACTCGTGGCGGAGAACTTAATCTCACGGTTTTAAGTCTCTTGCTTGATAAATTATCAGAATCTGGAGCCTTCCTCTTTGTACAAAGAGAGGAGGTTATTTCTCCCTCACACCCTGGTTCGGAAGGGCAAATTGCGGTGGCAACTGGAGGGTCGTTAAGGATCTCGGCTCCATGAGTATCCACCGCGGCTGACAGGGCTGCTTCTAACGAACCATCATCAACCAAGAGGGTCTTCCTGTGGAAGTTACCAACCCTGGAGATTGCAGCTATCCGTTTCTTTCTCCCGATTTCGGATAGCTGATCCTTAAGAGCCTTGATTTCAGCCTGCATCTTTCTTTTGTCTCGGGCATTCAGGCTCGAGACGTCTTTCTCCTCGGGAGGAGGATCGAGGGGGTGAGTCTGACCGTCTTTAATGGCGAGCCCCGCTTTATGAATGCGGTGAAGGGTGAAGGAATTCCAATTTGTTTCACCCTCGGAAACTATTCGAAAGAAGGACAAGAAGTCAACGGTTGGGTGGGGGATCGTCTGGTTCCCTGAAACAAAGTATTGGGTTAAGAATTCCATCTCTTTTGCTTAATTCAGTAGAAAGTAGTAAAGGTTGGATTTTTAACCAAGTTTAGCCGACCAATTGGCGAGAAGAAGACCGGAAAGACCTTGAACAGAATGGGGATTGACTCGGAAAAAGAACCAGTATTTCCTCCAATGCCCATCATTCGAGGGCATTCCGTCGATTAGGTTACGGTCAAGGATAGGGTTTATAGAAAAAATACCCGCTGCTGCGGATTCACGGGCTCGAAATAGCCCTAAGAGTTCGCTGGTGGAGAGGGAAAACCTTGCTTCTGCCGAAACGGTCAGGGTACTCAGAACGTATCGAAGAAAATTAGGAGCCATTTGGGGAAAGGCAATCCCTAGGTGGAGGAGGTATAAAAGAAGAACTTCCGGAACGGGAAAAAACAAACCACAACCTTTGAAATAGACTTCGTACGCACAACAGTAACCCTCTCGCACCACTTCTGGAGACTCGTTGGATCTAGGAAGAGAGAATTCAATTTCCTGGGGGATGTTACAAAGGCGGCGAAGAGCGCCAAGGGAAGCAGAGGTCGATTGAGACCTGAAGTGCGGACCAAATTTGTCTCCCCTTTGGGTGAAGACTTCATCCCCTCTGGGAACAGGGATTCTTTGACTGTCATCTTCGTTTTCCGAAACATAGACGGCTGGGGAAGACATCTTTTACTAAGAGGTTTCTCTTTTTCTGGTTCGGTAAAAGCTTTTGGGGTAAATATATGCTGCTGTAAAAGCCGTCGTTCCATTTAACCTTATTTAGCGAAAAACCTCCACGAGAATATTGGGAAGTGGGACAGTTTTTCCCGTGGTATTAATATAAAATTAGGAAATTAATGATCACGATTGTCTGGGAAATCAAATCATCTGATTATCTGAGATCGGTGTAACAGCGTAAAACATGGAGAAATTCCAGAGTGTTAAAAATCTCGAGTCATTAATTACTATCTACTTAAGTCTTCCAAGCCGAGCACTCAGCTCGCAAGACTTGGGGGGGCTAAATGTTGGGGTCGGATCCCACACACTTTCGGTAGGATCCGTTTGGATCTGTCCACGTCATTATTACATAATAATGCTCTTGGATTTCTAGGTATTTCATTAGGAGAATCGAGCTCGACCAGCCGGAAGTTCGATTCAGTTTATTAAAGAGCTCGATCTTTACCAGTACGGAGTTCGCTCTTATTCAGCATACAGCTCGCACAGAGAAAGGCCGAAGCGAGGAGAATATTGTTCGAGGTTCGCGGCAGCGTCAAGACGCAGGAGTTCGGAGTCAACAAGAAAGAGTTCGGAAGATCCACGCGAGGCCTAAGATAGTTCAAATTCAAGCCGTTTCGGTCAAATTGTAACCTACATGATTAATGCGGGTCAATGCGATTATAAGCAGTAAATGACCGCATTGATCATGTTTTCTCTATAAAAACAACCTCAAACGCATGTGTTTGAGGGGGACAATCTTTTTACCTCTTACAATCAAGCAATACAACATACTTTCTCTCTTACAATTTTGCAAAGCTCTTTACTATTTTGTTCTTATCAACTTCTTTCGCTTTATTTAGTTTCTTGGTTACTTTCCTGTTCAAATTCTTATTTTCATCCTTTGATTTTAGAGTTTTTTCTCCGCAAAAAATACTTAAAGACAATCGAGTGTGAATCCTACATCCACACTGACTCAGATGGATATGGCGGAAGTGCGACAGCCCGAAGCTTTCTTTTTTTTTTCGGAAAATTTACATATGAAAAATGCCCAAATATTTTTTTTAAATATCATTAATATGAGAATTATACTTCAAAATGCCTAATTCTTTATAAAAATATAAAAAGGCCCAAAAATTTTTAAATAACAATTTTTACGATAAAAAAATAGTAAATTTTTTTTTAACATAGTAATAGGCCAAACAAATATATTTTTTTATCCTAACACTCCTAAATATATTGGACTGGGACTGATCAAGAGTTGAATATTATGTATTAAAAACTAAAAGTAATAAAAGAATTAGCCCAAAAATAAAAAGGACGACTATGTGTACGATCTTCCGTCACAATAACTCTCTTTTTTTTTTGTAGTGTCGACGACCTATATGTGTATGATCTTCCTCCAATTTTGTTTCAAATTCACCATTAAACCGGCCAAACTATGCATTCTAATGTAATGCTTTCGCATAAGTGTCTTAAAAAAAAAAAAGTGTCTTACAAGACTGACTGTTTTCGAAGAAAAGATGGTTTTGAGACTTATTAACGACAATATTATCCTTGAGTTATATATTCTATCGATGGTTTTAGCTTTTGTAACTGTGGAAACGCATGTAAAGGACAGCATATCCATTAGATCAATTTGGGTTTTCTCCTTCGATGCCAAACATTTCATACCATATAGAGTTAGGAACAAAATAAACAAATGGAGCAACACATTTTGCAAAATACCATTTTCTTTTCACACTTTATCAAATAAAACATTACTAAAAATAAATACACAAAAAAGAAAGTGAAAATAAATTGAAGGGATCTCTGTCCCCGAACGACATAATACATTACAAAACGGGTAAAACCAATAGAGCTATAAGTAGAAAAGTGATGTAGGGGAGTTCAAAACATAAATTGTAACAAGAAAGCAACAAGAAGTTGTTATTTTGTGGCTAACGCTTTTGGATGTCTTATGGACCAAGACGATAAGGTCCATCGCCCATGTAATGACCATCCATGTACAGAGCTGCGTGGTGTGGGTGCTGCAGACCATCCATCACCATGAACTGCATGTCTTCAGACGGTTTCCAGTGACGCTTTCTTTGGTTTATGAACCAATTGTTGATTTGTTTCTGATCTAACCCCGTTGATTCCGCCAACGCCACCTTCTCTGATTCCTGCCAACTCAAGCTACCCATCATCACTTTTGTAGTAATCAAAGTATAAAAAGCAACGATAGAAAAAAATCGTAAACTGGGTTTAAAAAATGCTAGATAGTTGAACGATGACCTAAAGTTTGTTCTTCTGAACGATTCTATAAGTAACGACTAACTTTTTCTTTTTTTTCAGAGCAAGTAACGACTACTATATGTATGTTCTCTTGTTATCTTTTTAATAACATGTCATTTATATTTATGAATATTAAACATATTTCTTCACTATCATTACAGTCGGTTAGATTAGTCAAACTCATTAAAAACTAATTAAAATTACAACATTTTATTGTTTCAAAATATATCAATCAATATTTCATCACAAACTTAAATTTTATAAGTATTTAAGTATGTTATAAATAATTAATGTGTATAGTGAAAAAGTTATTGATATGTGTTAGAAAATGGTATGCACAAGGATTAGAACACCAAGACTAAGATATGTAACCTAGTGACTAATATCAATGTCGTCATCATTCGGATTTAAAACCATGTATTGTTGGATTTAAACACCAAATGGGTCATGCAAGTACCTACTTGGCCTAACATAGCCGCTTAAGAGGGACTTTCTATCTTAAAGATTGGTTTTTAAAACACTTAATTTGTAGCATATTTAAAAAATCTGAGGGCATAAAGAGATGAGAGAAAGTTTATACGTACAGAAGGATACGGCCACTTGTAATGCAACTCCCACCACGTGAGAAGCTTCTGCCGTGCTTCTTTGGGAAGTTTACCTTTCTTTTTCTTCTTGGATAGTTCTTGCTTCAAACTGCTTAAGTATCCACTATACTTCTTCAGCAAGTGGTTCTTGAGTTCCCGATCTTCCGCCCTCGGGTCTATTTCCGGTAATTCTGTTTCCCCTCCGCTGGTATTCTCTTGTTCTTCGTCTGATGATCCCATTCCCTCACTTTTCCCATCTGCTTCAACATAATATATTTTTCATATATTTGATGTTTTAGTCATTTAACAACATTTTAGTCATCTACCTTTATGATAAGACTAATTAATCCGAGTAGAGAATTGATGATTTTGAAGAACGAAATCGAAGAAGATAATGTTCCCAAATAAATCTTCACGAGCAGCACCAAAAGTTCTTGTGATAGTACTTTGGGCCGAGTGAAAAGAAAAAAACCAAACATAAGCCCCACCCATCTTTGGATGGATTCCACAATGGGGAAAACAAGAACAAATATGCACACCTATTTGTATCTTACATATTTTCCAACAATAATGCATCTCAATTATCTTAATTATCTTATAATCTTAATTAACATTTGAAGATTTATGCATACTAAGATTTTTTTTTTTTTTTTGATATCTGAATGTTACAACAATTTACCATGACCCAAAGAAACATGCCAATTTATGCAATCCCTCATAACCCCTACCTTACCACTACACTTTGTTTTCTCCAACCATTTCTTACATGTGCATATATGTATGTATCTATGATGTATGTATGTATGTATATGTGAGATTGATGACATGTACCTGCAGGATTGTTGAGGATATGAATGGGACTCTGACACAACATGCTAAGCTGAGATTCAATACGACGTATAAACTCCATTGCTTCTTGAATGGGCCGTGTTAGCTCCTCTCGATATTTAACCAACATGTCACAATATGCTTCCTATCATACCAAAAAAAAAAAAAAAAGATTTCTAACATATATACACAACAAAGAACTAACCCATTTAAAATTCAACTTTGATTAGTAATTAACCATGAATTGATCCAATTCCGGGTCTCTAGAGGAGGCAGACACAGACGGTGTTGGCCGCTGTTGTCGAGCCTCGAAGTCTTGCCGTGCGGCCGTAATTCTATCAACCACTTCAGGTGGAGCTCCAATCTATATAAACCATGACCCATGAACATACATACGTACATATGTCATAAAGAAGTATATATTATATCAAAATAACAAGAATAAAAACAAAACCTTTTGGCAGTCCAAGTAAGCTTGTAGGAGGGTAGAGTAGTGAGGATGAGCAATGATCTTGGCCTTCATGGCTTCAACATCGCTTACGTTATCATTATTGGTGTTGTTGTTAGCTTCTTGCGTATTGTGGATGGCCCTCATCAACATAGAGTAATGATTGATTCTTGAGGAGCTAGCTTCAGATTTAACAGATGGGTTGTTGTTGTTGGGTTGATCATGATCGGATCGGAAGCAATTCTCGGTATTTTGAGGGAGAAGAGAGCTCATATGTGGGAACAACATGTGTTGGTGGTGATGATTGTTGTTATTAGTATTATTGTAACCAGGACCATAATTGCTACTATTATTGCTGTTGTTATCGCTTGTGTTATTGTTTTTGTTGGAAGAAGAGATAGGAGAGTACAAGAAACTTACTCTTTGAGGAGTGGAGCTGTTGTCATGCTGGTATTCTTCCATACCCAGATGAGTAAAACTTGAGAGAGAGAAAGAGAAGAATATAAAAATTGATGGGATAAAATTAAAAAAAAAAAAAGAAAAAAAACAAAACCCTAAAAAAATAAAAAGGATGGGTGCAAGATGAAGAGGATGTATGTATTCTTGCTTTTGTTCTTATTTCAATCAAAGGTCTCTGTAAGAGTAAAACCACATCAAATCCAGATGACTAGACGACTCATCTATGAAATCAAAAAGGCCTAACTCGAAATAAAAAAAAAAGAAAGAAAAAATATTGTGAGGTGAAGTTGCACCCAAAGAAAAACCAAATAAATTGAAAATGATATATGTGAGGAAGAAAAAACGAACTAGGAATATAGAATTCGTCAAGGAAGTGACATGGAAGAGAAGAAATTAGAAAAAAGGTGTGAGAGAAAGAGAGAAGAAGAGAGAAAGAGAGAAAGAGAGAAAGAGAGAGAGATTAACAATAATGAAGAAGTTGGGTGGCTTGAGTGGATTGACAAGACGTCGTTTGCTTTGAGAGCAAAAAGAAATATTTGAAAATTAAAATAAAGGTAAGAGAGAAGGGACAAGAGATAAGGCAAAGGCTTCTCTCTTCTGTTTTCCTCTCATAGGCTATTTTGTATATTAAAATAAGATTAAGTATTTTAGTAAATTTAAATGTGGTTTGAATTTTAGAATTAAGATGTACCACTCAGTGTTTAAGCAACTAGGTCTTCGCGGCTACTTCAGCTATGGTTTCTTGCTAGGTTGAATGATATATTTTCTACTATTTTTTAGTAATTCATTTTTTTGGCTTAAAAGAATAGTCTAAGAAGAAGATAAATATGTATGATTCACATTTCTAATACAATAAAAACCCAAGAATTTGTTGAAGATAGGGTTCGTTCAAAAAATTGTGGTCATGGGTCACATTAATTCGACACTTTGGAGAGGAGACTACGTTTATCTTGTTCTGGTCCCCGGCTCACGCAGATGTACGGATCTTAACCTAGAACTTTACAATAACAAAAAAGATACTAATAATTAATAATAATAGTATTAATATGATAGAAATTTTATGCAAGATGTTTTGTTGATATGTATATCAGTAATCTTAAATGTTTGTAGAGTTTGATCAAATCGATGAATTTCTAATTTTCTTTTTTCGTAGTTTCGTATGTATATCGGTGGAGAGACACTATCCGAATATTAATATATGTTATCGGATAGAAGATTGCATTAGAAACCGAGAAAGAAAAAAAGGGATTATAAAAATGCTTTACATGATAGTGGATATTATACGATATTCTGCTAATTCCAACTATTGGCTCTATGATAAGACCATGCTGCAAACACACTTCTTTCAACACTTGTTCTGTTCCACGGTCAACATTCAATTTTATATTTAATCTCAATTTATATATATTTCATGATTCATGAAACGTATAGAGTGCCTACGAATTCCATTTTATACAAAAAGAAACGAAAATCCTAGGGCTTTTTTTATATATAGATCGTCAAATCCTAGGGCTCTAGATTAAAGTTTGCTCCTCACATCACTGCAATATACCGAAACTTATATTGTGAGCGTTCGTAAACAAAAAAAAGTGTTTTGAAAAATTATAGGTAGCTATGCGGACGGTTTTAATAATAATAAAATATTTAAATATATATGTATATACGTATATATATTATTTTTTTATTATTACTAAAATTGCACTGTATTTTTCTCACAATTGTTCCCCACCTTTCTATTGGGAACTTATATATTAAAAGTTGCATTAAAAATTATCCAAATGTTAAAGGTTTAATTTGCATTCGAAATGTTTTTTTTTTCTTTAAAACCTTATGTTATGTTTGAGTATGAGATGATAAAACATAGACAACATAAAAGATCATGAGATTATTGTTGATTTTGCCATTTTGTCACCCAAATCTTTTGGATTTCCATTTTGCTTCAAATATATCAGATTTGCCATTTTTGTTATTTTAAAAACTATAAATTTGTGAAATTTTTTATATAAAATACATATTAATAACAAATAATAAACCCTAAAAGATGGAACAAAAAAAATTAAATATAATGTATAAATGATGCTTTTAAATATTTAGAGGAATTCTAGAGCGACAATGACAAATTCTCAATCTTCTCTTTATCTTTAATTTTTCGTAGTGCTAATGTAAAAGCGGATAATCTGATACAAAAAGTTCGTACAAAACTGCTTCATATCATATATGTAAACAACATTCTTCAGGAATACTTCTTTTGAGTTTTAATTAATTTCGGATGACCAAAAAAAAAAAAAGATATAAAATTTTGACAAATCTAAAATATTTATGACAAAATTGCAAAATCCACAAATACCATTAGCAAAAAGGATTTTTCCTAATTGATTCAAAGATCATTCATTAAAATTAGATCTCTGAATTCATTATCATAATTAATAAGTCTATCATAATCAAAGATCTTAGATCCCCAAATCGAGCAAAATCCCTAACCCTAAATAGAGTATGATTTGAAACTCGGGATTTTATTGAACAGTTACGACAAAACAACGTCATTTTATGTTTAGAAGGAATACTTGTTAGTGTTTTGATCAACAAACGAACTTTGTTTTAACAGAGTATGAAGAACAAAACCAAAATGAAAAATAGAGTATGAAGAAACTTGATCTTTATTGATAATATAAAATGTATTACACACAATGATGTTATTGAGTTTGACTCGATCTACTTATACAACACGAAACAACGTGTACGTACATGTGTTAATCGAAAAAACACAACTTTACGAACAGACACAACTATATGTACGTACATTCGTGACTCTTACGTAGATAACTAACTTATATGAATACGACTTTAGGTTATATGACTTAGATGAGATTTGATTATAGTTAACAATACTGTCATTTTTAATTAGCGGGTCTGTTGACAGAAAATTAATCTCGTTAACATTGTCTGTTAACTCACTTAACGTCATGCCTAATATGGCCAAGTCAATGAAAGTTTGGTGTTTATTTGGAAAGTCAACATAAGTTTAATATTTATTTGAAAAGTCAACATAAGTTTGATATTTATTTCGTTTCGTCGTGAGTTAAAGATTTAAATCAACATTTGAATAAGTAGGGGATTTTAATGACATTTTTCTCGATTCCAATATCCTCAAAAAACATGGCCATGCCTAAAGACGATAATACCCATCACGGTCTAATTCCATAGAATTTTTTATTTAAAATAAAAATTTTGTTTCAAAAAGTGTGTACAAATACATAGAATTCTATCTTTAGATTAGAAAGTCCATTATAATAATAAAATAAACAATCATTTTAATATAAAAAATTACACTAGCACTGTTCTCTAAATTTATTAATTAACTCTTTTCTCATAACTATATAACGACTTTTACGAGGTATCTAAAGCTCCATACATTAATGGATCTGATTGGTAACAAGCTGTTAGCTGTTAGGGAATAGTGCAAAGCTGTACAATGTTAGGGAATAGTGCAAAGCTGTACAAAAGAATAAAACATGAAAGCTGTACAAAAAAATAACGCAGAACAAATTTTAAAAATTTACTCTGATTGGAAACATCATAGCAGTACACATAATAAATAATATTAAGAATTTAGAAAGAAAAAAAATTACATAAAAATGTACTTTAGTATATAATTACATATGAAAATTAAGATTATATAGAATGAACAATATTTTATTGTTAGAATAATAATATGAATTTACTAGTCCTATAATAAATAAAAAATTTCTTCATTTTGAGCAATATAACATTCTAAAATAATTTTTTGAGAAAAAAACCATTATTTCTAATGATATTTTTTCATAGGCTGTATTATTTAC